TAATTCGATGAAAGTGTCAGGACAACAACAAAAATAATGCCATCTTTGTATATAGCTATGTCAAAGCGACAATCGCTAGCTTTGTAGTTGGAGGAAGTCTCCATGATTCTATAACTAGGCTCAGGTTATTGCAGCAAGATAACGAGCGAGTGAACGGGGACGCTATGCATTGCATATTCGACGCTGGTTGAATTCCCGACGGTGCGTCTCTCTTTCGCTCTTTAACACTGCAACGACGGCTGTTAAGCTGAAGGAAGTCGGCGGTGTTTCGAGATGAGGCTGCGTTCGCCCATGAGCGGCCCTGTTCGCCGTTGCGGAGTTTGATGGATCGTGCCAAGAACACGTGATTAGCGCGTATTCAAGCAATACCACTAGAACAGCTTTGACGGAGCCTGTTGTATAGCTGCTTCACATATTGAGAATCTACGCTCAATTCAAAACAACTTGAGCGGCAGACGGCATCAGACGAAAGACTATTGCGCTCACGGGGTCTCTAGAGATTTCGCGCTGTGTCTATGTTAAAGTCCAAATGTAGGAGCTTCTATATAGGAGCATGCGAATGCAAGAAAACTACCTCGATGTACCTACCTGGAGCAAGTCGACAAAGCTATACTATCCACTAATAGCATAGTGCAGATGTGTAACGCTCACTTCGTAATGTTACAATCATGTTATGCAGATGTGCAACAATGATGAACGCCTTAGCAAGCCTGCTTCTTCGAAACCAATGAGCCATGTAGGACGCTATCAGGACAGAAATGTGAAAGCCAACAAGGACTGTGATTCTCGTGCATGCTGTAACGCGGGTGAAGCAAGTTAGACTTGATAGCCAACATACGTTTAGTAACGCCATAGCTTTAACGTCAGTTGAAATGCTAAATATGTATTAGCGTTTTTATTGTCGTACCAGCATTGGTGCTACAACACAGTGAAGATAAATATCCTATGGAATTTGCTGTTTATATATAAACCTAAAATCGATTCGGGTTCAACTAAACGGCCTGTTTGTTCATTCCGAATGAGTTCTAGGAGGCATCACTTCCTCAGCGCGAAATATACTGTGTTCCTTCATCGTATCATTCACAAATGGGTTACTTGAAGCTTTTTGACAGAAGAGGTTCACAAACAAATACAACTGATTGGTTTTAGCAGAAGGACGATTGCTTTCCCTGGCCGTTTTGCACTCGTCCCGCGCTATCTTCTTTCCACAATCGTAAAGCTTGCCTATTTCGAAAAGCGATCCAAATGCTGCCCGATGGAACAGGTCTACGTAAACGTATCTCTTGAGACGACGTCGAACGCTACATTCAGACTGCACAAGATTGTGTGCCAGTTTCCAGGAAACAAAGTAAAGAAGGCACAACAAAATCAGAGGCAGTTAAAGTAATTGTCACATAAATTTTGCCGTACGAGTTGGCAGCACATCTTAAAATTATCTGAAGAGAATCCGTTAAAACAAGATTACTGAGCCGCTAAGAAACCTCTACGACCATATGGCAAATGGTGGTTTACAAAAAAGCAAATCTTTACTTGGACCTTACCTGACACATGCATATCCACTTACTGAATCCTTTTACTACAACATTACAAAGTAGTGATCATTTATTTTTTCCTATATCTAATAAATAATAGGTGAACTAATATTGGCCAGATCGATATTTGCTTCTCTGGTCAGCTCGCTTAGGACGATTGCTCATAGCGTTGTAGGCGTCTTTCATCTGCCCATAACTACAATACCGTTATTTATAAGAATTTTGCAGGATATCATTGGAAGAGGAGTTACTGGCATATAATTAAATATAGAGGAAAGGCATTTAATGCAAAAATTCCCAGGCGGACGCGTTAATTCATAGACGGAACACGCGACGTGTTAAGCCATCTGTTTTGGCTGAAAGGCTTAGAAATGATTGTCTAGGTTCCGGCCGGCTTATCGGCTCCACGGAAAAAGCCAGGTTTTCCTTATGTTAAAGCGGAATTCGAAAGAGTAAACACGTTCAGTCAGAGGCTTCTGGAGGACTTTTTAATTCAGCTATAGCGTAACGTTGATCGGTAAAATTGTATGCTTTACTTTTCTGTAAGTGTGAGGTTCTGTGCAACAGCTCGAACTAACCGGTTCAAGGTTTCAGGTCAGGTTTTGCTACAGTGTATAAAAAGGGTTAATTTCTATTCATGTAATCAGCTGAAGCTAACGATGTAACCTATAATGACAACCATTGGCCGAGATGAAGAAGAGTGGAACGCTGTGTTTCGCGACGCAGTGAAATGGAAGCATAAGGATTATTAGGGTTGGCTAGTGCGATCTTGTCAGTGATCCATCTAGATTTTGTCGTATCAACCATTACCCTTTCTCCCAAGCGCTTTCTACAAACCAAGCGAAATGGGGAGCGGTCGCTACAACAAAGACGCCAAGATCTGGGTGGGAACGGTAAGGGCGAGTAGGACAAAAGATCTTTACCTTGAATCGTCGAATATAGAAAATTCGTTTTAAAATAGATGTGCAATAGTAATATGCTAGTTCACGCCATATTCTTGCACTGCAAGGAGCTTCCATCTTTTTTTAGTGATCGAATTGGTTCTTTTGACTGATAATTATCTAATTTGAGGTATAAAGTAAAAACAACTGACGCATGATTACAGCTGATTTTTTTTTGAAAAGCGACTTCAACTTATCGTTTTAATGGGAGCTTTAACTTAAAAATGTTGCAGTGTACGGTTCGCAAAACGTATGCTTCGCGTAGCATTTGATATGTTTTAGCCTGTTTACTTCAAACAGTTATCACGGTGTTAGAAGGTAGCGATGAATTGCTTACCAATAGTAAACGGTTCACTACCGGTAAAGTTTTCTAGCTTGTTTCAGAAAGTACCAATTTGTCGTTTTTATTACACAACGATCAATTTCTACTTAACTCAAGAACCATAACGTTTTTTAACCATCTGATCCTCTGTACCCGTTTTTTCTGCGACACATCGCCAAGCTACCTAAAAAGGTTTGACCAAGAGCGGAAGTCGCGTGAGTTCCACCTTTTAAGAATAAGATAAAGGAAGAGAGAAACTATTTTTTGTATCTAACGGCCTGAATCCAGTACGTTCATGTCGTTCTTTGAGCAAGTAGAGGCTGCGGTAACATTAGCGACAGTAGTGAGAACTACTACTATCAGGATCCTTTTCTTTTTACAGCTCATTCGAGCTCGGACATCGATGTCGAGCGAAGTGTTGCCCCGTTGTGAGGGGCCACGGCGATTCAGGCTGACGCGTTCTTTCGCAAAGCAGGAGTGAGATAGAGAAAGATCAGTCAGATCCGTCAAGCGGCGGCAGAAAAAACCACGACGAGGACAACGAAAAAGAAAGAGGAACTCGAGGTTGCTGGATCAGCTCAGGGAGAGAAAAAGGAGAAGAAGAGGAACATGGGGGGCGCAGGACAGAGGTGGGGAAAAAGAAGACGAACGTGCAGCAGCGGGAGCAGCATGACACACGAAAGAGTGGACGATGATGGATCGGCTGCAATTAGAGAAGAGAAGGAATTCAGCCTGCCCATCAGCTGCCTGCCCTTGCCGCGCTGCTGACCCACTAGATAAAGTCCCCGGCGAATCTTTTGCTAACCTATCGTTTCGCCGACAGCCTTCAACACTCGGTTCATGTACTCTGTCGCCCGCTGTCTGTAGTCACCAAACGACGCGGAACTAGGCAGAAGTAAAAGCACCAGCAATCGAAGCTGCGCTGCCAGCGTTGTTACGGCTTGAAATAGTGCAGTTGAGCTGGGGCAACATGCGGACTGTATAACAGCAATCTATGCTTCGTACTTAGTAGTACCCCCGTCGTTCAAGGCAAAGCTGCTACCGAATAACGGGTCCGCAGTGCTACTGGAAGACGTCGCTATCGCTCTAGCTACAACTACGCCGATTTCTCTATACTATAGAATAGGAACTCCGGGCATATATGCCCCTGTCCAAGACTTGACTCACTAAAAATGTTTGGCCATTCATATACGGTATGACCGGACATGCTTTTATTTATATACGAGTTCACAGAAAGATCGAGCAGTTCCTTGCCTCCTTGAGGCAGAGCCGCTGCTAATGGTAGAACTCAGTGAAAGGCGACCAAGTGACTCACCAAATCAGTAGATTGAGCTTTTAGTTCATCGTTTTTATTCTAAACGAGTAAGAACTACGATGATGATCATCGCGAGTCAATGTTTAGTTCCGTCAGCGAAACTCGAAGGGAGAAGAGGAGGCGGGGGAGGGGCGTAGGACCGACGAGAGCGAGAAACTATGATGTAAGCCGTACTAGTAGTGGTAGACTATCACACATACGCCTTGTTGAAGTTGTCATAGTGATAACAACCGGCGATTAGGCCGGTAGAGTCTGATTCACGGTCTAGGAAAACAATCGATAGGCTCGGTACATATATGTGTCAGTTAAAATCAGATCGTTCACTTTTGTAATTGTGGAATTAGACACTGCTGATAATGGCTATGCAATATAGACGAGCTCGTTTGCACATATTCGTAATAAAGTGGACGTTTATAAAACCAATCTGATGCTTTTGTCCAATATACAATTCATGAAATACCCGTATACATTGGCAAAACAATTCAAGACACATTTTTATAACTTAAATAGATCAGCCTGTTCTATAATTTCATTTGTTCAGCTTTATAACGAAATCCCCTCGTTCATTAGTAATCCCTCCAAAAATAGCCTTCTACAATGGAATCATCTTAGCAATCCATGTAAGATAAAATGTTATAACCTAAACTAAGCAAATAGAAATTGCGATAAAACGAGTCGTTGATGGGGTAGAGGGTAAACCTTGGCGGTATATCAAATAGAGCATTATAGTATAGTCCGGCCGAAAAAGACGCTATGGAATTTCGTTGAACAGAGTATACACTCGTTTTATACGGGGCATCGCAATACCAGAAAACATAATATAACTAATAAACCAAATACAATTAATGAAAACATCGAGTATACGGCGAGTTTACATAACCATCTCTTACCTCTTAACCTTGTGGCTTCATCAAGTTGTTTCTCTAGGTGCGCCCTCGAATCCTTTTCTTTTTGGATTTCAAGCTTGAGCTGAGCTGTAAAAAAATCAAAAACACAGCCACGTAAGTATTATCGATATGACCATTTGGCAAAAACCCAAAGCAGCAGAGGACGGCCGAATAGCGCTTGGGACTTTATGTATATTAGCACATGTGTGAACAGCGAGAGTCATATCTGTCTCCGTATAGCTGTTGAAACAGATGGAAAATGGGGCCATGAAAGCCGCCAGCGAAGAAATGTACAGATAACAAGTCGGTAAGACAGCAGCCGCGACCCCCAGGAGGGAACAAGGAGTTGAGAGATTGTCACGAGCTTGACGAGCAAAGTGGACGGCGTCGAACACTGCCTGCTGCTCCGGGCTGCAGAACGACATTAAGCGGTTGGAACCATCAACCGTAGCGTCAGCGGCAGCACAACCACTAAGAGGCTCTTCGAAATGGCGGTACATGCAGCATGCTTACCGCTGCTGCGGTGTTGTCGGAAAGACAGTTAATTGAGCGCGGCACCGGGCCGCGTCTATCTCCGTGCAACGATGAGCACAACGACGAGACCGACGACGATAATGTCCGCGGCAGTGTTCACTGTTATCTTGTCCTCCATTAACGCTTAGACGGCCCTCGCAATCACCCGCACATGAACAGACCCACGACGAGGAAGAATAAAGGAAAAGCTGTTTCGGAAAGACAACACCTCACACCCCATAACTCTCCGTCTCTTGCAGCTGGCGCTATGGGGGTGGCGCTGCCTAGATGGTGCTCGTAGTAACGATGGCAGTGGCCCGATCACGGACCTATACTTGGACAAGCGCACAAAAAATACGGATCCCAACTGGACTTTAGGCTTGCCGAGAATACAGAACAGCATAAACATTGGTGTTGACAGCATACCCACCCACACATACACGGACAGACTCTCACAAGTTGAGACAAAACATCTTTTTCGTTCCTCTTCAGATGTCCAAACAGATGGACTTTATGGCCAATCAAGTTTTTGCGTACTTTACGTTAAGCGAAAAGAACGAATATCATCCCCGTATGTTTGCCCTGTTGGCTAAGGCAACCATCAGCGTAAGTTTAGTCGATATAAGCTTAAGCTTCGAGATTATACTATGTCAGAAAAAAATTTCCAAAAAATCCTTAGTTAAGTACGAGTCAGACAAATTTGTCATATGCAGGAGAATCTTGAAAATCTCCTCCATTATTGAAACTGTACAAAAATTCAATAATTCACCATTGAGATAACGTCAGACAAGATAGCGGCCAGTTTTTGGTCAGCCGAACTTATTTGTATGACACTTAATTTGTGTGCATGTAAAAGTGTTTCATGAAAACAATAGTTGATGTCTACGATTACTAATCAGTCGCTGGGGGACGCGTTCTAAATCTCCTTAGTACGTTTGTCTAGCAAATCCTAACTTCAGTGTTCAGTGTTTTTTTGTCGATCACACTGACGAAATTATAAACCAGAGTAAAAGAGAATTTTAGTGGAACCGAAAGTCGACCACAACGCCCAGCGATCGCGCTTACGCCGCCGCCCACTTATCTGCTTATAACAATATTTGGCCAATATATAAGCACTGAGTTGTGCCGGGCCGCAGTGGGTAAGCCCAAAGCACTCATCACTGTTATTACATACTTGCTTAATTTTCTTCATCAGAAATCTACGGCCATTGACTAGCCATTTGCAAGAGGTCTCCTCTTCTTAGGCTTTCAATTGGACTAGGGCAATGGCCAGTAGCTGCACATCACCTAACTGAAAAAACCGATTTTCGATAAAGAAACCTGACAACACCGCTAGCAGCGAGTAAAACCGCTAGCCATTCTGCGGTCTGCCGATAAGCCATACGCACACGGATCCGTCTTGTCGCTCGTTGTCTGTACCGCGAAAATAGAAATCACTTTTTCTTCCTCTTTATCTCGCCCCCCACGGTCCCCCGGCCGCTTTTTTCTATGCCCACCACACCCGTTTTCTCTTGTCTACTACTATTACCGCCCTGTATTCGAGGAAGAACAAAACCCACTGGGTAGATTCAAATGACCGCCACAAGAACGCGCCAAGTACGCTAGCCATTTTAAGATCAGGGGGTTTCTCCGCTTCGCAGCTGTCCTACCGTTCTCTAGCTCGTCTTAGATCCACATCCGTCGGACCCTATCTGGCTCCTAAACTGACTCATCCGACATCGCATCTTGCGCTTGTCCGCGCGTCGTAGAATCTTCCAATGAAAAAGAAACATTCTCTCATGAGCAGCCGTAGAACTGACGCTCGATCGGCATACCGACTGCGGCGACGGCCAGGTTAGAACACGAGCTTTGTGGAGCCAGCGAGGGCTCCGGCAAGTGCCGATTGTCGAATAAGGGGAGACCCATAGGATAGGGTAAAAGAACGAACGGCGAGGAAGACACTATGCAAATGTTATCTACTGCTATCTTCTACTGAGTGGCTCGTAGTACCGAACAATTGAATTGATTTCAAATAGCCACCGCAGACGCCTGTTTAAGACTATTCGTTGCGAGCTTGGAGATGAGTCGGCCGGCTGGCGGGCAAAAAAATAGAATAAGGGCTCAGGGTACGCTGCTGAATAGATTGGATATGTTCGGTAATAATCGACTTAGACAGAGATACTGGTGCGGCCATAGACTTACGACTCGAGCTTGAGCTAAAGTAAATGGACGATACTGAAGCTTTGCGCACATACTAAGGTATTCTTTGCCAGAGAGCGTGGCACTAGAAATCCATAGCTCTATTTAAAGTTGCATAGATAATTTTTTTGTATTACAGAACGATTCAGTTAGAGTATAGGCGCAAGCTGCATTACGTCATCATTTTTTTGCCTCGAATTTATTGCTCATCATTGCAATCGTACGAAGATCTTTTGTCTACCTGGAATGCAAATACTCACTTTTTTCGAACAGAGTTCTTTTTTCATATTCACGTGCTGTGTCGGCTGCGAGCCGTAGAAGGGCCTGAATATTCTTCAACAAGCTTTCAACAGATTGACCGCCTGTTGAGGCGCTACTTTCCCCACCAGAAAGGCTATCTAATGTCTCTATTCCAAGCCGCGCGCTATGGTTATTTTGATGAAGCTGCTGTTGCTGTTGTAGCTGTAGAATTGCCTGTTGCTCCAACTTGACCTTGAGGGCTCCAAGGGAGCCTGTCTCGGGTCCTTCGTCATGGCCCGAGCTGCTACCACTGTCGCGTCGTTCTCTTGATTCTCGTGGATGCTCTCTCTGAACTGAGCTAGTCAAATTGAGAGCTGGGGGCTCAGATGCACTCCGGCTGGATGACGGTGAATCCTTCGCTTGCTGAAGCCGATTCTCCAGACTCAGTCTGTAAAATGATTACCGATAAGAAACACAAATATCTCAATTTACTTACTGAGTTGTATGCGTTACTTTGTTTTCGTCCTTATGGAACTAATTACACGAGAGAAGCTATCGCTCTATAGTGTCCGAGATTGAATCCGACTCTCTGGGGTCAGCTTGATGCGCTGGTACGGCTCATCGGGTACCAAAACAACGTGCTTCGCCCGGTGGGATGACGGGAGGATCTTACCTCCACCGCACGAACACGAGGCGGGAGCATAGCGGCACCAGGAGTAGCAATAGTTCGATATGACAGTGAACTTCCATACGATGCCAGTCGTACGCCTCTTGCCTTACCCCTGCATCAGCTGTGTCCTGAGAGTTGGAGAATCATGGCCAGAGCTTTCAATCCCCCCTCCCTCCCCTAGCTCGTCAGTTACTATGCCCTCAGCGGAAAAACGCATCCTTGAAAGCACTCTCCAGGGAGAGTGAGACACACTTGCGCATACTGACAAATGCATCGTTACTGGGAAATATGCATCATTTTGCTTTGAAACTCTACTCCCACATCACTCTCTTACCTCAGCATCCAATACCTACCCGGGAATTGCCTTTGTCCTTAGTCCTGCCCCCTTTTTTCGCCAGCCGCCGTAACGATCGAAACAGCAACAACCGCTACATGTAACAGCAATAACAGCACAAAAAGCGGTATCTATTTCTTCGAAATGCATGAATACCTGTGCGTCGGTGCATAGGTGCCATACCACCACAGAATATGATACCGTCCATGATAGCCGTCGAAGCTTCATCGGACAACCCCATCTGCACCTGTCGTGTATTGGAGGCATCCTCGACACGGGGAGCACTGACAAGTAGAGAATGCTCTTGCCAAAAGTAGACTATTTGGCAGAAATGAGATGGTGAGATTGCAGAAATCGAAGAAGGAGCAATCTACTCCTACGGGATCTAATACCGGAAATATCAAAACGGCTTACGGAATATTTCTGCTGTTGTTGTTATCGTGGCTGTTGCTGCGGTGATACCCAAAGGGCTAGCGTCATCCCCCTCGATTCCCAGACTGTACTATGTTAGATCATTTGTTCAACCAACATTATCTGCATATAGTCAAAGTGGCTAGATGGACTGACCCTACAAACGGCTTTTCTATTGAAGACAAATCTGGGCATAAACCCAGCTATTTAATACGAAGAATTTGTACGGTCGTTGTGTGTTCAACAGGCTTAATGGTGGCCGGTCTACTCTCGAGTGCGTGGGTAGATCCCCATCGGACGCATTTGAGGCAGTTTGATATTATCCAAAGGAGTTATGCAACACGTGAAGTATCGACATCCTGAGTGGCGGCAGGTAACAATCGGCCGAAAAAAAAAAAGAATACTTTTAATACAATATAGTAAAATTGGGCCGCGTTCAATACGTCGATACTGGTACGAGCGTAAGTAAATTAGTCGATGCCCCTAGAGAACGTGACGCGCCACAAAATTATTCAGGACGGAATATAACAGCCATACAAGCAATGCTCGATATAATAATATATATTTTGAATTAACAATAATCCTATTGGATTAAAAATGTCCACCAGATAATTTAAGCTTCGTGTAACATTCTGCGCAGTACTTGAAGCGATAGACTGCGTGTCACTTAGAAAAAAAAAACAGTCCGTCAAAAACCAATTACAGCTATAGAAATATAAGGAAAACTTGTGATTCCTGTTTAACTGAAAGAAGTCAGTTGCTTTAAATTATGGACAATTTTGGTTCGACGCTCATATACACGCAACATGTAGGTCAATAAAGCAAAGTTCAATAAGATTAGTATTATTTGGACTTGCATTCATTTATTTTCAGAGTTTATAAGTTGTCAAGTTTAAGGTATTGCCGCCCACTGATTATTCTAATTATACGCAATTCAGTAATAATCTTATAGAAGTCACTAAATAAATACGCCTCAAAAATGGGGCTTGCTTTCCAAATCTAGTCATCCTTCCAGACAAAATTTACCATCATCAACAGGGCCAAATAATGTAAAAGACGAACCGATTTACGACGGACGAACTGATGGGTGATTAAACCGAATCTTTTTTTCTGAAACATTGTTATTGAGCAGAATTTTTTTTCTGACTGCATACGCATAAAAATCGCTGTATATTCCATACTTCGTCTCATGCTGAGTCAGACCCCTAATAAAGTCTTCGGGGAATGCAGTGCCGAAGAAAGAGTGAGTGCCTATAGACGAACTTCAATTGGCAGCTGATGGTCTGGCCCCATTATCGAACTGATGGACGGACATACAGTTGATCCGAAAACGAATTGCCTTTGACTCTCGGAAAGCTCACACAACGATTCAACAATTACATGGGGTACGTCAAAAGTGGGGGTAGGGTACGCCTGACGTGTCTTCTATGCCGAACTCTTCGGGGGCTATCACTCTATACCTCTACTGCTCCCTTCCTCTGACAGACAAAGACAAGAGGAACTGATGGGATGGGGGTTTCTCTCCCTCAACATCAGTTCCTTCCTAGGACCACCTTCCGACTCGGTCAGGCCTCACCAAAGCATCCCGCCCACCGAGGCAAATTTAAATCAGCCCGCGAGGTTGCTTATCGTTAGTTGTTCGATTGACGTTGTTGCTGACATCGTATATGTCAAATCTTAAATTTATGGCTTTGATTAATACCACAACGGGGACCGCCATCATTGGCACCAAGGAACGGCTACAAGAATACCAACTATAGCTCAATGGATGTAATTCTTCCCCGTTTGTATAGTCACATTGTGATAGCGGAAAATACAAGACATTTTATCCTTCTATAATGGGCGTGTAGACGGAGAATAACGTGAAGGGAGCCCATGGCGCAGAATGGCCACAATGATCTTCGGGCCTGACAGTATTGGCTTATGGTGGTGACGTCGTAGCGGTCACTCTGCGCCATTGAATGCAGCCCATAACGTCGGACAGCATCCTATCTATCAGCTAAGCGATATATTGAGGGAACCTAACAAGCAATGTTATGGCTAAACATTGAGATTAGAAAACACCGACCAATACGATGGCAGCTCGCCATAGTCAGTAGCGAAGAGAGGCGGATCGCGTGTATCACGAGTAAGGATGTCATGACAAACAAACGCATTGATGTACGACGGGTCGTGTACTATCCTTCCGCCCGACCAAGCTAGCTAGCCGGCCTATCGCAGTTTTCCGTAGAAGTCCAAACAACAGCGGTGACCGTCCTCACGTTTATATTACTTATTAGCAGTTTTGCGGACACCCGCAAACCATGTCCGGGTTCGAGTTAGACATCTAGTATCTCATAGTCCGCTAGTCCTTCGTAATTTTATAATGCATTAGAAGAAATTGACTGAATAAGTTTAATAATAATGTAATTAGAAGCATCGCCTAACGGTTTAAGTATCGGACGTAAGGTACGAAACGCACTGGGGCACATGTACGTTTCAGGATTTATAATAGGAAATCACGCTAGTTTGATAGTTTATTTATATAGCATAAGATGATTATTAATTAAGTCCTGCTGATACGGATCGTAGTAGAGTGAACATTTGTCGTACACATTGTCCGTGAATATCTCTAGAAGCCTACGTGTGACCTACGTAGGTAGGGATCGATAGCCTATCTCAAGTTTTTAATAGGCTTCGAGGCCCAATAATTTCACTAATAAATATTCCAGCTGCATTACAAATATGTGCTTAAAAAATATGTGTACACATATAGCAGGAGCCAAAGTTTGGCTCGCTCTGATGACGGGCAATTTTTTTTCGGTTGGAAACCTATTTCCCTTCAAATGCTGGTTTAAGTCATAAATAAGATTGCTATTGACCTCTCCTACGGTGACTTCAACCAGCTATCTTAAATATATTTAAGCTAAAATTAAAATTCGCTCATTGTTCTCGTTACGATTGTAAATAAAATAAATATTTTACTTAAAATTTAACACAGGCGACCAAATAAATCTAAAAATATGGCTTTCAGAGTGAACTAAAAGTATTTATTTACTGAGTAAAATTGATCCCCTATTCACTTAGCAAGCGATACTGAAGTCGCTATGTATGCAGCCATCTCGCACAAACATATAGATCAGCTGTCTGTATCTTACTTCTTTGCTAAGTGTGGTAGAACGTAAGTCGCAGAGTGAACATGACGGAAGTGCTGGAACTGTCTAAGTGTACGTACTACAAATATATAGAAGAGGTATTAAGTTAAATGTAGGGCGAGGATTTCCGATAATGTGGCTAATGATTCAATGATTTAAGAGAACTAGCACGCCGACAAACCATCGAAGAAATAGGCCGCCCTTAGTTTTGCATGTGGAAGACCTTTAGCCATTCTGATACTGAATAGAAGACGATTTAAAAATGGCTCTATTCATTAGCAAGATGTTACGTACGTGGCTCACTAATAGATAAATCGATAGGACGATCTATAGCGGCCAGTTGACTTACATCAAATAATGGATCCATGTGATAAGTCAAAGCGGGTGGCTGCAGTTTGCAATCTTGCACAAAATAGGCCCCCTTAGAATTCATAAAAAAGTTGGAAGTCCTTAGGTTTATCCTTGTATAGAAATTCCATCTTTAGCCGTTTCCAATTTATATATATATATATATATATATGTACATTACGGTTTTAAAATATCCAGCTTCTTTGGCGTATAGCATTATGCCGAATAAGTGGATATGCATGTACTATATACACTTCCATGACCCAAGAGGTCCTAAAACCAAGTCGAAGGGTGACACTGCAATTGGCTTGGTACCTACTAGTGTACGGGAATCAACAACTATTGTCTTCTCCTTAACTGTTGTCAATAGGACTATCGAGCACAGTCGCAGTGTCACACCCAACTCAGCAAAACGTTGTTGTCAGATTGGAGCCCTTCTTCCTATATTCAGGGTCTGTCAGATCAGAGGGATTCAACGTGGAAACGAAACTCGCTACACTTTGGCCGAGTGCATCCAGCCACGAAACTGGCTTGGCTACGTTCGGCCTCCT